TCCCCCCCCCCCCCCCCCCACACACACACATGGGTCATTTACGTAACATCTTGGCCGTTCATTGAGCCGAGGGACAATGACACCAAGATCAACGTCCGCTTCTAGAATTGTCATCATCACGTTGTTTCCATCATTAGGTCCTAGTTTGTCCGGAGGTTCGAGCCTTCGTGAGACGTCATCGGTTCTGGTGGAAACCGTCACCAAGTCCTCATCCGGGATGGCCGGGGCTTTCGCTTCCCTGCCCAAATTCTCCTCGGATGCGAGCAAGGTGGTCTCCAGGGGGGCCGGCCTCTCCAAGGCCTTTGTGGGCCAGAAGAACTCCTTCATGGTGGACTGCAGCAAAGCGGGTAGGCACAAATCACACAAGTATGTCAAGAGTACACAGAGATTGATGATTGGTATTTTCTCCCAGTCACCGCCCCCACTCACCACCAAAAAAAAAAAAAAAAAAAAAAGAATTTTTAAATCCCTCAGATTTAAAGCAGAAGGGAAGAAGCCCTTGAAATGAGCCTTGTGGAACTCCAGGGCCAGAAATCACTTGAGTGTTCAAGCAGTACATTGGGGCTTGATTTTTGAACTGTCATGACACTCAATTTTGTTTGACTTTCTGTGAGACCGGCAGAAAAAGAGGCCTTGATGGTCTGTCGTGTGTTCGCAGGAAGCAACATGTTGATGGTGGGGGTCCACGGCCCCAGGGCCCCGTGCGAGGAGGTCTACGTGAAGCACGCGGGCCACAGGATGTACAATGTGACGTACACGGTGAAAGAAGTGGGAAACTACATCCTCATGGTGAAATGGGGCGATGCCCACATTCCCGGGAGCCCCTTTCATGTCACTGTACCGTGATGACGTCTCTTTTTCTAAAGTTCTCTTGAGACAAATCCAGTTGGTAGTTGCGATGAAAGAGATATTTTTTTGGAATCGGCTTTTGTTCTCTCTGCGGAAATTTTGGCAGGCGGGAAGTGACAAAGAAAGTCTTATCGTGGCTTTTCGAACGCCACGATTGTTTCATACGTTTCATAACAATGAAAGCATTCATAAGAATGAATAAAAGGTCACACGGCCATCGGTTGTGTCATTTTGATTGCAAGTAAGCCCTTTGTCCTGTAGGTGGTGCCCTTTGTTCATTCTCAAAATCGTGAAGCGTATGTGCTGATTTTGGAGAGGGCGCCATTGCATCCTCGTGTTGAACACATGTGCCTCACGCTTCTCAGGGTCAGCGTTGGAATTTTGGCTCCAGACTTCCTGTGCGGAGGTTGCTTTTTGATTTCTAGAAGTGCGCCAACATGAACCGGCAGCCAGTCCATTGCGTCCATATGCCCCGACTGTGACTGGCGACCAGTCCGCTTTTTGGCCATGTGTGCCGACACTGACTGGCAACCAGCTGGAACACTCAACCGCTCCGTTGTTTGACGCCTGACATTGACTTGTAACCAGTCTTTTTTTTTTTTTTTTTTGGTCTACACGTGCCATGACATCAACCGGCGACCGGTCCATCGTTTCCGTTCGCCTTCTATTGACGACCAGTCAATCGCTTGTCCTTTTTGTCCCAGCGGGCGCCAACAGAGACTTCATTCAAACATGAATCATTCCCGTCCCGTTCTCGGAGAGAGCAGTGCAGTCGAGCGTCGTCGCATTCGATGTGTAGTAATGAATGTCCCTTATTTCCAAGAATAGATCTTCTTCATTTAACACGACACATTGCTCACACCGGACGCCTTTCCTCCTCTTCCTTCTCGTCGTCATCCTCCCATCCAACCCGGAGCAAGAAAAGACTTGCTCATGTGACCAGATTGTCTGTCCCTTCTTCTCATCCCCCGTTATTTGCCCACGAACAAGACCCGACAGCATCCCATCATAGTCCGTGGCGATGAAACAACCGTTGCCCAAAGTGTTGACGCGGGTGACAAAAGTTCCCCAAAGTGATTTGAAGCCGTCATTGTTTTCCCGCTTCTCCCTCGTGGAGAAACTTTGGTCTTGTGTCTGTCGTTAGGTGTCGTTCGGTCCACGGGAGGCTGCGGTCATTGGGAGGATGCTGTTGCCACGGCGACGCCGCTTTCCTCCCTCACCGTTTTACCCCCAAGGGGGAAACGTGTGCTTGTGTGCCCGCGTACGTCGACGTGTGTTTGTTGGTGTCGGTGTGTCGCCCTGTCTGCGCACGTGTGATTGCGTGCGCCTCACAGTCCAGAGGTCGACGGTTCGAATCTGGGCTCCGGCCTCCCTGCGTGGACTTTGCGCGTTCTCCCCGTGCCGACGTGGCTTTTCTCCGGCTTTTGCTCTTCTCGGCCCAGTCCTCCCACTGTCGGGCCTCTTCTGTCAGAGTCTCTCTCCTCTCGGCCCAAATTCGACTGTCCTCTTCTCGTCTCGCGCTACCATGATTATTCTCTTCGAGTCCGAGATGCTTCAATGGCGGTTTCACTGTTGCTTTGTGCTTCTTCTTCTCTCCTTTTGCATTGGGAGGCCAGAATGTGACTAAAAATAGAAATAGAATAAAGCAGAATTCAATCAACGTCTCCTTTCGAGGGGGGGGGGGAGGCGGATGAGGAAAGGATGCTAGTAAGGAGGAGGGAGGTTCATATCTCGGCAGTGGGGGGAAACAAACAAAACAAAACATCACGAGCGTTGAGATGTCATCGCAAGCCAGAGTTCATCATTGATGAACTTGAACGATGTGAACCAAAACTCTTCAATATCGATCCACACACTATTTCATGACAGATCAAATATTTGTGTAGCGTTGCTTGAAGACATGCACTCGTGTGTGTGTGTGTGTGTGTGTGTGTGTGTGTGTGTCGACGGACGTATTGATCTGCAATCGTGTAGCTTTATTTTGACAGAGTGACACCTCCTGTTTTCAAACAGATGAGTCCACATACACAAACATGTTGCTCACACATGCATGCGCACACACAAAGTGGAGGAGGAGGAGGAGGAGATGGTGGAGGGCGGTCCGGGGGAGGAATTACATGCCTTGGGGGAGGTCCTGAGAGGGGAGCAGCGCATCCATCACCTGCGTGATAACAAGCCAGATGCTCAAGCGCTGCATGAGAGCCGTCCGTGTCTGGCAAAGAAGACGCAGGCCGACACGGCGTGCGTGCTGTGAGAGGTTAGTTGTTGTTTTTCTTGTTGTTGTTTTTCAACGGTCGCGTGTCAAGCCTTCCTCCCGATGAGCGCGCGCTCCTCGACCGAGTGAAACCTCAGCCGTCCCAACTTCACTCGACGGACTTGTGCCACCATGGCCGCGGGGACGGCGGCGTGGCTGCCGCTGGCTCGTGCGGCGGCAGTGGCTTGGATGCCCCTGGCCCGCGCGCCCATGCCGGCGGTCCCGCCGGAAAGACGGCGCGCGGGATACTCTCGAGCGCTATCCGGACACTCTTCTGGGAAGCTCCGAGAAGGACTACTTCTTCCGGCACGAGAGCAACGAGTTCTTCTTCGACCGTGACCCGAGCTTGTTCCGCCACATCCTGAACTTCTACCAGACGGGGAAGCTGCACTTCCCTCGCCACGAGTGCATCGCCGCCTTCGACGAGGAGCTCGCCTTCTTCGGCATCGTCCCGGAAGTGATCGCAGACTGCTGCTACGAGGACTACAAAGACCGGCGGCGGGAGAATCAGGAGCGCCTCCAGGACGACGAGGAGACGGACCCCGACAACGAGCCGGCGGCGGCGGACTTGACCTTCCGGGAGTCCCTGTGGCGAGCCTTTGAGAACCCGCACACGTCCACCACGGCGCTGGTGTTCTATTACGTGACGGGCTTCTTCATCGCCGTGTCCGTCCTCGCCAACGTCCTGGAGACGGTCCCGTGCGGGGCGAGGTCGGAAGGCGCAAAGTCGGCCTCGTGCGGCGAGCGCTACGCCTTGGCCTTCTTCTGCATGGACACGGCCTGCGTGCTGATCTTCACGGCGGAGTACGTCCTGCGCCTGCTGGCGGCGCCCAGCCGCTTCAAGTTCGTCAAGAGCGTCATGTCGCTCATCGACGTGGTGGCCATCATGCCGTACTACGTTGGCCTGGTCATGCCCGAGAACGAGGACGTGAGCGGCGCCTTTGTCACGCTGAGGGTCTTCCGCGTCTTCCGCATCTTCAAGTTCTCCCGCCACTCGGCCGGTCTTCGCATCCTGGGCTACACGCTGAAGAGTTGCGCCTCCGAGCTGGGCTTCCTGCTCTTCTCGCTCACCATGGCCATCATCATCTTCGCCACCGTCATGTTCTACGCCGAGAAGAGCTCCAAGGGCTCCGCCTTCACCTCCATCCCCGCCGCCTTCTGGTACACCATCGTCACCATGACCACGCTCGGGTAGGTCATGCGCACTTTCTGCATGCTAAGCTAAAGGTAGGACGCGCCGTATCGTTGACACTTAGGTCGATGAGGTACGATACTCGACCCCGGTAGGACCTGCGGTTAGCTGATACCGAGACCCTCGGGTAGGTGACGGCGACTTTATGGTAAGACCCCCGAGTCGGCGATACTGAGACTAAGTGATGGTGACTCCGCGGTCGGAACCCGGCACTCGGATGGGTGATGCACACTTTCTTGTCCGATACTCAACGTGTTGATTTCTATTCTTGCGGCAGGACACGGCGTAGCAAAATGCGCTGGTAGACGACGCCGAAGCTGCCTCTGCGACTTGTTCGCACAAACACGCGTGTGTGTTTTAGTGTGCACGCATGGATCGGGTTTCAGCGATACACCTGGAGATGGGTGTCCACGCGCATGTATTATTTAGTCACATGACCCATGCTGCGTACACGATCACCCGACACGCGCGCACACAAACGAAGCCTGATGCGTCGTTGACCCTGCTACTCTCATCCGTTCCTTCCCTGAGGAGCTTGTTTAATTGGTCGCTTAATGAAGAGCTCCGCGATGATTTGTCGGCCGTGGCCTTGCGTCATCGGCTTTGTTTCCACGGCAACATCCTCATCGGTCAAAGTGACGCACGCGGCACAAAGGTTGTGGGCGTAGGGAGTGGTCTTCTGATGTCACGCGCGTCCAGGTGCGCTCCTTCCTACCTGCGGCCGCGGAGCTGATCTCCGTCACCTGGCCGCAACACGTGAGCGCGCACGTACGGCGCAACGTTTGACGGCAGACTGCACGTGTGGAGTCACGTGACTGTCAAAGTGGGTGATGGGCAAAGATGGCCATTAGCGGCCCACTGCGAATAAGAAAGCAGGGTCGCGCACGTTTCCGCTAGAATAGTTTTTTGAACACAACTCGCCCTCGGGCAACTTTTTCCAGAGGTCGGAGGAAATCGCATTCAGTTAAGACTCGGCTTAGAAGCAACTCAGAAGTCCAATAATTCTATCACATTAAGCACATGAGATTTACCGTGCATATCATGTCAAGTCATCGGTACGTCGCTCTACTTGTAGCTAGTACTCATTTTTTTATACAGTTGTGCTTCTAGTTTTTTATATATATATATATATATATATATAAAATATCCAGTATATGCGGGTACAGAAGCAAGTGCAAGCATCTCACTTGGTTGTTGTTTGGCTTTTTTAGTTTTCATTCCTAAATAGCGGAAAAGTATGAATCGATTGAGTGGCCTGAAGTCTGTCGACGTGTTCTTCAGGTATGGCGACATGGTTCCAAAAACCATCACGGGCAAGATCGTGGGTTCCATCTGTTCGCTGAGCGGCGTGCTGGTCATCGCCCTGCCCGTGCCCGTCATCGTGTCCAACTTCAGCCGCATTTACCACCAGAGCCAGCGGGCTGAAAAGCGACGGGCGCAGAAGGTGAGAACAGCGGGCCTGCTTGAACGATTGGTCTCGTTGATCGCATTCATTTCTTGTTGATGATGAAATACCAAAATATTTTATTCTGAATCTTTTAACCATGTTGGGTTTAATTTCATTCTTCAACTCAACAATTTTAGACACACATTTGACTTTTTTTTGTTTTTTCTCAGTGACCCGGCCCACGTGTCTTTGTTTTACATAGCAAACTGTTCCAAACGCTTTCGGGCTGAACGTGCGCATTTGTTCACAAACAGAAAAGTCGCCTGGCTAGAATTCAAGCGAGAAAGACCGAAGGAGCCAGCGCTTACTCGCGATACAAAGTGCTGCTGGACGCCGAGGTACCCGTAACGCCATGCTTCTCAACGTGGCGTGATGCGTGCCATGCTGAGTGGCTCTCCGTCACCGCTTCCTCCTGTCACTTGACTCTGGCCCGCGTCAGAAACTCTCGAGACTTCTTCTTTCCCCTCGTAAAACCTCTCGGGTGCATTCGTAGAAATCTTCCTCGATTCGTTTCTTTCCCACTCGTGCCTTCTACTACTCTATGACAAGAATGTACGCTCGGAGGACAATCGAGCACCCGGGAAGAACGACATGCTTGGATGCAAGGGTGGGCTCACGATTTGGTCATGTGACTGTGACTTTGCCTGTGCGTGTCGTGAAGGCGTCCAAGGAGGCGGGCCGGGCGCTGCTCTCCGAGGCCAACGCCAACGCCACCATGGCGGAGCATCATCATCACTTGCTGCACTGCCTTGAGAAAACCACGGTGAGCTCACCGGCGACCAGCTTCCTGCGAGGATGCGCAAGGTTCAATCCTAGGGCATCCGTTCTTTTATGGCTCGGATTTCGGGGAATATTTTTGTCAAAGGCGTACGCTTGTACGCATACATTCGGGCAGGCGTTCGAGTAAGACTCGCTTATTTTCATATGATTGTGTTTTTCAATGGAACTTTCTTGCTTTGACGTGACTATTTTCTTGTCATCGCATCCAACGAATGAACGGATCAGAACTTGCACTTTGCTGACCACGCGTCATTGGAGTGGAGCCGCTCTGAGGAGGCCTTGCTGAAGCGGGCCCAGGCTCCCTCACCCTCTTCCTCTTTCTCGTCAACCTCGCCGCCGGCGTTAACTTCCTGCTGCTTCCGCACCAAACGGAGCCATTTGGACCCGCCCAAGTCCAACGCCGGCACCGCTCAAGCTCCGCAGCGACCACTGAGGTGAAACTGAGTGAAAAGCCTTTTGAGCATTTGTACCATGTCATCCAGATGAATTCCGTGTGCTAATATGCTCTTGAGAATTCAAGCATCCAGGCCATGAGGGAGCAAAGTCTCCCCAAAGCGCGAGTCCCGCTCCACCATACTCATTGAATGTCGGACTTATTGTAGATTTTGAGTCTGTAGCATTGACATCAGGCAACATGTGTTTGCATCCTCCAAACTGGCGTGTGTTTCCCATCAATTTGAGTTAAGTTGGCCGCTTCCCGACTCCGATTGACATCATCCGGCTTCCCTCCCCAGTCGCTCCAGTCTGAACGCCAAACCGGAGGAAGCGTTCCCTCTAAACTACGAAGGGCCTTGGGCGGCTGCTCCCGCCGTTAGTAGCGCGCCACCGCCGATCGCCGTGCCCCAAGGCGACCTCCCCCGGGCCTCCGAGAACGTCCGCGTTTCGGAGCTCTGAACTCTGTCGCCAAGTAAGCCGTACAACAACAACAAAGTAGAAAACTCACATTTGTTGCTTTTTTTTTTAATCTGTTTTTGCTCATGCTAATTATTTTAGCACTAAAGCGACGAAGGTGTGCTGGATGCTATTCATGGTACGTACCAAGCTAAGAATCAACTCATAGTTCAGGTGCTTTTTTTTTTTACAAGCTGGCCTCGCTGCAAGCCTCATTCGGGGCAGAAGCTTCTCGGGTCTGAATACACGTTGATTAAAGTTTCACAGCAGAGGCGCTTTAAAAGATGCCTAGTTTCATTGTATTCATTTTATTGCTTTATTTGCATGAAGTTTGACACCCAGTTCTGAAGCATGGTTTCCAGAGTGCTATGCTAACTCGAGGCCAGGATGCATTTGTGTCATCGCTTAAAAAAAACGAATCCCCAAGCTTATCCCCAAAACTTGTGTGTGGACCTTAAAAAGTATGTCAAGGATATGGAATAAATGTTCCAACAATTTGCCACACACTTTCCGATGCATGAATTTCTGAAATTTGTGGCGTTCAGGGGCTGCGGTGGCGAGAGATGAGTGACATTGTGCGCGGTGTTGTCATAGAAATAAATGGCCTGGTCTGTCTCAGGAAGAATAGGCGGGTCCCGACTATTCTTCACGCGGCGAGCCCGTCCGCTTGGTTTCCTTTCGGCTGGCTTCCTTTGTGAACTTTAACCCCTGGGAACATTCCTCACCAAAAGGAAACAAACACCAAGAGGCCATCGTCATGACAGCGGCGGAACAGCCCACTGAGCTTTTACGTGATCAAAAAGGAATTGTTGCATTTCGATGTTTTTTCCCAGAAATATGTTAGTTGAATAAAATATGTTGTGATGAATTTGTTTCCCTTCATTTGTCTTATTACTTGCTTGATTTATGCGAAAGATTCATCAATTTTTAATTGGATGTTTAATTTCATGAAATGTATGGTAGGCATGCACACACACACACAAACACATAATTACATGAAAACACACACACACATGCACTCACATATATATACTTGCTGCCCACATCAAAACATAAAAACTAGATATACAAACGTCCCACGCAGACCACCATACTTGCTCGATATTTCGACAGTTTCAGTCATACATCTTCTCATACGGTGCGCTAATGGTGTTAGCACAGTGCGCGTAAGTGCTGTTCAGCGGGTGGGCCGTGGGCCGGCGCGACAACGCCCGCCGCCGGCGACCCCCGTGGCTCTTTGGGCCGCTTGCGTCCGTAGTGAAGCGTCCAAAGCAGGGTGAGGGTCAGGGCCATGGCCAGGATCTGGGCCACGCCCAAGGCCACGCCCAGGAAGCGCAGCAGCTGCAGCGGCGCGCTGGAGCGGATGAAAGACAACAGCTTTGGACCGCAGCCCTGGAGGTGACAAACGTCACATTTCATTCTCACGGCAATCCGATGACGGCATCGCTCTCGTGACATCATCTCGCTGTCACGTCACATCATTCTCAAGTCCGGACTGAAACGGCGTCAGGAGCGGCCTCTCACCTCTTGGTGGAGATCGCTGAGGTCGTGCTGGTGGGCTCGCCGAGCGCATCCTGGGTACTGATTGGAGCAGCACGAGTCGGGAGGCCACTCCCTCTCTGTCATCTCCAGCCAGTCCGTAAAGTACGTCACTCCGCAGCACTCAAACTGCATGCATGCACACACGCACCTGCCATGTGTGTGTACGTGTGTCTTTCTCCTTGTGCGTGTGTGCGTCTGTGAGCCAACAAACCTCCGTCTGAAAGGTGTTCCAGGTGTGTGTGAGCCACTGATGCTGGCGAAGGCCGAAGTTTGACATCCGAAACTTGAGACTGATCATGTCTGAGCGCTGCACGGGCGGCTGAATACAGCAGGTGACACACACACACATGTACACACACGCCGTTAGCCAGGTGTGTCACTCCTCACCTGATAACCAAACAATACACAAGCCACTCACATGCACAAACACTAACACAGCGTGTGCGTGTGAGACAAGCACCTGCTCATAGGTCCACAGAGCGCTGGCCAACTCCACGCACAAGATGACCAACAGACTTCCAAAGTACTGCAACACAAACACACGGGGGTGTGTGTATGTGTGTGTATGTGTGTGTGTGTATGTGTGTGTGTGTGTGTGTGTCTGTCTTAGTCTTAATGTGTTTTTCTATTCGCGTGTCAGTCACAACCAATCAGAAGCAGCCTTACCCAGGACAGCATCATGAGGTCACAGCGCAGAGTGCCGCACACGCCCAACATGGCCACCATCAGCAGAAAGCAACACACAACCACCAGGACGGGATGGACGACGGGGGCAAATGTCAGCACCGCAGCCTCCTCCAGCCTGCGCGCGTGCACATACACACACACACACACACACACACACACACAACCAAAGTTGTGTTGTTGTTGTTGTTGTGGGTGCGTGCGTGTTGTTGTTGTTGTTGTTGTTGTTGTTGTTGTGGGTGCATTCACACCGACCTGGTGTGAGCGGTCAGAGTCAGGACAGCATTCAGGGAATCTCGAATCCACGCCGCCACTCCCAGAATGCACGCGGACATCAACTGGAAGCACACCCACGCACGCGCGCACACACAAACACACACACCCAGAAACAGATCAGTTTCTTTTACAGAAATAACATCTGAGGATGTGAAACATGCTACACATACACGCACAACGCTGTCTCTCAGTAATATACAATACACACACACACACACACACACACACACACACACACCTACACATACATACAAACAAGAACACGTTCAACGTACAAAGGCCCGTGTGAATTTTGCAGGGAAAAGACATGCCGTCAAGACGTCGAATGAGTGCGAGAGTCACAGAAAAGAGTCCGAAACGGAAGCAAATCAAATGAAAGTGTGCGAGAAGCCCACAAAGTGCCGTCAAGCTGTCGTCCGATCGAATTGCACTTTTTACCCAGAATAGCACGTTGAGCGCGTAGAGAAAAAGGCGCACGCATCTCACGGCGTCCTGCCTCGCCATCGGACGCTTCGGACCTCAAATGGTTCGGAACGACGCGGCGGCATGCTGAGCTGGACCGACCCGGGACGGTTCCGACTAATGCGCAGTCAGTCGTCCTCTTCTGGTGTGGGGGGAGGTGGGGCGAAAAACAGGTGCTACCCGGCGAGTGCGAACTTGTAAATCGCCCTCTCTCTCCTCGGCGCGCGCGCAAGCACGCAAACGCGCAGAGGCTCTGGAAATAGCTCTGAGATGACGTGCGCATGCTCGGCAGGATGTCTGTTCCAGTAGAAGGTCGGGGGGAAAGAATGTGATCCCAAGTTCCTCCTCGTCACGAGTCGCACGTCACCAAAAAATGGTGAAAATATGCTAATACGGAGCATACTGTTTTATTTTGTTTGTGGAAGAAGCTGTATAACAAAATAAACATTTTTTTTTTTGTGGAAGAAGCTGTATAACAAAATAAATACGGAAATGTTAAAAGTACATTGTTTAGTTGATCTCTTTTATTGAGTACTGGACAATTATTTAATGAGCCACTTTCGGAAACGTGAATGCAAAAAAGTATTCCACTTCTCGTCTCCGGTAGGCGGCAGCAGAGCGCACTACATTGTCTACTCTTCCGGAAAGGACAAGACGAAGAAGAAGCCCACCCCTTTCTCTTGTGGCCACCTTAAAACGCAGACATCATGGTGAGTTGAGACTTGTTTTACTCGCCTCTTTAACTTTAAAAGGCAACGAAGCAAACGCAGAGTTTCCGTCAAAATCAAGCGTTCAGACGCGCGCTTCTGGAAGATGATATCTCATGAGCACCTTTGCTTCTCATTGAGCCCCGTTAGCTGGCGATGCTAACCGGCGAGCACATGGGCGTTGTTAGCGCGCCTGTGGCTAAGATGATGCGAACCAAGATCTTAGATCTTCAACGTGACTACATTTTGTTTGAAATGTCCATCAGTTTGCGATAACGAGTGGCATCAGCAGATGTCTTTTCTTGACTGGCTTTCTTAGCGCTTAGCTTGTTAGCATCCTCGGTGAAAGCTTGTCATTCTGTCATTGCTGATGTCAGCGCTTCATCAAGGAATATGACGTAGAATATGAATTCCGTGGAACGAAAATAATGGACTGGGTTCGATCATGAACTGCTTGAAACAGTTTATTTTTCTTTGTTTTATTGGTAACAACAACTTGTCGCTTTGTCTGATTTTTCTCGAAGCTTCTCGTGGGTTCCAGGATGAATTATGCTGCGTTCATGGATCCTCGGATATGTTGCTTTCGAGACGTTTTTTTGATTTAGGTTCCTTTTATTTCTTTGTTGGTTATATCGTTCTCTGTGTTTTTGTTTTGATTGGATTCTTATGGTCTCTTTCTTTTGTAAGTAATTATTGTTGTGAAATGCGTGCAAACAAGATGAACGTGGATGTGTTTTTCCGCAGGCGTCCCTGTCTATGGCCCCAGTTAACATCTTCAAACATGGAGCCGATGAAGAAAAAGCTGAAACTGCTCGTCTGGTGCGTTAGCGTGTGTTTGTACTTTATCCCTTAATTCAGAGTCGATGTCAAGCTCATAAGAGTCTCGGCTTGTCCCCACAGTCGTCTTTTGTGGGCGCCATTGCCATTGGAGACTTGGTGAAAAGCACCCTGGGACCCAAGGGCATGGTCGGTTATTTATTTATTTGTCTCGCGCTTGATGCTAACATATAATGTGAAATGCCATAGATGGGGTAGTGAATCCTGGCATGAAAAACTTATATCGGCGCGCTCATGTGCATGTTTTGCTTTTTAGGACAAGATCCTGCTGGGCGGCGGCAAAAGCGGCTCTGTGACGGTGACCAATGACGGCGCCACCATCCTCAAGGCCATCGGCGTCGACAACCCTGCCGCCAAAGTTCTGGTTGGTGAGTGAAAACGCCTGGTCGGGGGTGAAGGCTGCGCATCCGCAGGGAGATGACGCATGCTTTGTTTGCGTGCGTGTGCGCAGACATGTCAAAGGTTCAGGACGATGAAGTCGGCGACGGAACCACGTCTGTCACCGTTCTGGCGGCTGAGCTTCTGCGGGTAAGAAGCTGAAAAGTTTTTGCCTCGAGGGCCACTTGTAGAGACCTCGACTTCTTACAGCAGCGAGACACGCTTCCTGTCGTCCCTTTTACAGGAGGCGGAGCTTCTGATCGCTAAGAAGATCCACCCACAGACCATCATCTCGGGCTGGAGGAAGTCCACGCAGGTGGCCAGAGATGCGTTGAGGGAGGCGGCTGTGGACCACAGGTGCTCTGCTCTGATTGGCTCTTGAATGTGTACAGCAAAGCCTCGCTGATCGGCGTATCCAGCATAAAAGTCGTGCCTTTTTCTTTATGCCACCACGCGCTGCATGTCTCCACAGCAACGACATGGCCCGCTTCCAAGAGGACCTCCTGAACATTGCGCGCACCACGCTCTCCTCCAAGCTGCTGACTCACCACAAGGATCACTTTGCCCAGCTGGCCGTGGACGCCGTCTTGAGGTTGAAGGGCTCCGGCAACCTGGAGGCCATTCACGTCATCAAGAAGCTCGGCGGCAGCCTCACCGATTCCTACCTGGACGAAGGTGAGCGAGCGAGTGTGTCGCGCGTGGCGAAAGCACCTGCATTCTGATACTCGCACGTTTGTTGTTTTTCTTTTTTTGAGCGGTGGAACAAATTCCTGTATGTGTTGTATTGTTCAGGCTTTCTGCTGGACAAGAAGATCGGCGTGAACCAACCCAAGAGACTCGAAAACGCCAACATCCTCATCGCCAACACGGGCATGGATACGGACAAGATCAAGGTGGGTGACGGGCGGCACGCGGCCTACCAGAATATGTCGAAGACGCGGACGATGACCTTGCCGATTCTCGCCCTGCAGATCTTTGGCTC